AGACAATGGACCCCGGACTAGGTGCGTTCCTCTAAGTCTTACTACCAATATGACCATGTTGCGAAAACAACGTCAAACAACGAAAGGAGACTGCGACCACACAAAGGACCACACCATCTTGGTCCTTATACCTTAAGTAACCAAGGCCGACTAAGTTCTTATACAAGAATTGCTGGTAGCAAGGAAATATACTCATATCTAAAATATATCATATTTAGTCCACTATCATAATGTAGCAATGAAAAAAGGAGAATCAAATCGAACTCACAATATTTTTTAAAGACTTCATTTTCAAAATCTCTAAGGAGCCTCTGAAGACGATGCTTCTCAGAAAGGATTATTGATCTCTCGATAATAAGGCGCTCCTGAGACATTTCCAGCAGACGACGGCAATAGCTTTTGTAAAAATGTGAGTGGACATAAGATTTAGTCAGGATGAAAAAATTTAAGGCTGTATGTATACTAATACATAGGGTAGTTCCTTAGCCTAAGGAAAGCAGTTCTATAACGACCACTAATTATTATGCATTATTTATGTGAAAGCTAAACTATCAAGTGAAATTAGGAATGTCGTGATTGTCTAACTACATTTTGTCTTTTCTAGATGACATAGGAATCGTTTTAAAACATATATTATCCTCTAAAAATAATTTAAATTATTTTAAGTATAAGTAGATTGGATAGTTTCATTTAGTCAATCAAAATGCAAAAGCAACTATAAAAAACCTTATCGACTCTAGATAAAAAGACCAAGATGTTAGTCTCTGTTCTGGTCGTAATATCCTTTCTCTGTATAGAAGTGGTTTAAACTCATTTTTGCAACTTGCCATTAGAAGACTCTGGCTGGAAGGGACAAGACTTGTCTCTGACAAATTGTAGCTTAGTGCCAAGAATGCCAAGACAAATTCACGATGCTGACAACGATGACGGTGCAACGGCTTGGAATAAACAAAGTCCACGATCCAACACTGACAATTAGTATAACTATTATAGCAGAGGACTTCGGATATGATGCGTCCAACTATGTTTGCCTGATAACACGATTAAGCTGCGAAAACGAGATCAGACTACTTTTATATACACCCTAGGCCACTTTAATATTAAAGAAGATAGCCAAACTTTCATACAGTAAGTTTGGTAGGCCCCACTATGGCATAGGAGTTCACTTAATCTTGCCTCAAAAAAGGTATTATTATTTGAACGGACTATAGCTTCGACCTCATTTGGATCGCGCCACTAATATAGAACCTGGATGTCGAATCTGGATTCGACTCTCATCAAGGGTGCTGACGAGGTCTAGATGAGATTGAAACTGCAGTCCACCCTAGAAGAAAATAAGTTTTTGGATGCAAGGCTAAGTGAACTTCAATAGCATCATTAGGCTTATTCATATCATTGTGATAAAATCAAAATATCCATCCTTCATCGTCCTATGCGACCATATGTCCCATGAATTCTGAGATAATGTGAAAACTAAGCTTACTAGATAGATACCAAAATCTTATTCAGACAACAGACACAAAATTAAAATAAAAAGAGGGAAATGATCGGAAAAAGTGTAAACACTATCTCTCACTCTTCCAGAGATTCCTGAGCACGCGTATGCCGTAAAGCAGCTGACATAGAAGAAGTAGATGTTTGGTATAAATAACTATCCTCCCCCTCATCGTCTTGCTCCACTAAAACGTTTGAATCTGCTTCTCCACTCGTCTCTGGCACAAGGCTTGGGAAATCTGCTGCTTGCTTTTCACTAGCTTCTTCAGCACCGAAATTCTGCCCTTCTAAACCGCCTTCGGCCCCTTCGGCTGTTCCTCTCTTGGAACCCGCCTTTTTAGTGCTCGATTTTGCTGCCATGCCAGAAGCTTGTCGTGTGCTGAAGCAGCTCTCAGACGTATCCCGCCTAGTCTCGAGCCTGCAATCGCTGCGTAGAGAGGTAGGCATCCTGGCTGCTAAAAGAGGAAGAGAATGACCAGATGGACTCAGACTGGAATGACCAAGTAGCGGGCCACTTCTGTAGGCAGTAGAGGGAGATCCGGAGCTAGGACCG